TGGCCTGGCAGACGCTGGCATTGTCGCAGGCAAAGCTTGTGACACATGTAAATGCGTGCTGACAGCGCTGGGGCAGCCAGCAAGGGCCAGCACAGAAAAGAGGGGGAAAACACGAAAAATAAAAGAAAACTGTCAACAAAATTAATGTCATGCGAGTGCAATGCAATGAAAAATTATGGCCCGGCTTTATGTCAATAACAAAAGGCTGGCATCGAAGCCGTTGCCCGCCGGAGCCGAGACGATGATTGATTTGACAGGACAACGTGGCGGAGCGTGCGATAGTTGCAATGGACGGGATCGATTGGGTTATGCATGTGGCGAAAAGGCAAACCACAACTAAATACGAGCCGAGCCAGCACCAACTGCAATTCGAAGTGCCGCGGGCCGAGCTCAAGTTCTATTAGTCTCGCAGCTTTCTGCAACTCTGCTGCGGCTCTGACCAGATATTATTATTTTTGCAAGCATTTGTCAACATTTGTAAACTCTGACAGCTCACGCCCGCTGGCGTTGCCCGTTACCCGTTGCCCGTCGCCCGTTGCCTTGGGTAATGTTTTCACTTCACCCTTCACGCCATCCATCCACCCCGACGACTTTGACAGCTCTCGCTCCTTGTGCCCGCCCAGGCGAGCGTCGGCTTTACGCGTAATTAATAACATGTACACACAACAACTGAACCCAAGTACTTAACGCGTCGCAGGGGCAGGGCCCGAGCGGGCAAGGCGATCCTCGGGCCTATGTGTACGTCCGGAGGTGTTTACAAGTTCCCCAACCCACACACACACACACACACACACACACACACACAGACACTGTCCAGGGACACTGGAAATGCTCGCATATGGCCTGTGTGTGGTTTTTATGTGTTCTGCCAGGCTAAATAACACGACTCACTTAGGCGTTTATTTGCTGTATCTTTCAGCAGAGGCAAAACGGAAAGAGAGAGATAGATATATCTGCTTATCTCTTTTGCGCGGTTATATGGGAGCTGCGCAATATATTTTGGTCAGATATAATGTATTTAAATGAATTCCGTATATGTACCACCATTTGCAATGGGGCATTGTAGATATGTAGATATATCTTATTTTATTTTATTTTTTATTTATTTAATTTTTTTATTTTTTTCTAATATATTTTTATCGTATTGTATTATTTCCATATTAATCAATTATCGTGAAATACTTTAGATCAATTGTGGAATATTACAGATTAATTTTAGTAAGAGAAAGAAGTTAATTATTTCTGAATCGCTTAACATTACAGCTTTTAAATTAAAATTACAGTTTTCATTTGATTTGTAGCGAGTCCGATGGAAAAATAAATTTATTTAATTGATGAAAATATGTTAGTTGAATTTATAAAATATGAATAAATCAACTGGTCACACGACTAATCTAATTTTATTTTAAACATATATACTCAGTATTCCGCAAGAAAAAAAATTAAGTTGAATCAGCCACATAAATTGATTACAATTTATTAACAAACAAAAAATAAATAATAATAAATAAATAAAAAAAACCATACAAACAAAAGAGAACTTTTAAAAAACAATAAATATATTTAAATTATTTAAATAAATAGACTGCAATAAGATAGACTACAGACTATAATACAAATAAAAGTCTAAAGTTTTTTTATATATAAAATCTATATTAAATTTCTAAAATAAATATATTCCATTTTATTCATAAATATTTTTTTTTTAATTTGTTCATAATTTCTATTTAAGTTAGTTCCAATTTAATAGCTACATACAAACATAGATGCAGACATACCTTTCCCAGTGAATCCCAAATGAAGCATTTTCCCCGGAAAATATTGTTTACAATGAGTTGCAAGCAAAACAGCGAATATCAAAACAGCAGCTAGAAAACGAGTTCCCCTCAATCGTATCAGGTAGAGCGGATTACGCAAAGGTGCTATAGCGGCGGCAGAACTCCATCTGCGAAATAAAAGAGTCAAAGCCCACACAAATCATATTTTTCAGAGCATGGACTGGGGCATATCAAATTTCGAGCAGATTTCAATTTGATTTTATGTGCCTCCGGTGACGACAAGGGCCGTGGACCCCGGCACGTCAAGTCATGGGCATAATGCTGTCAGCCCATATTTCTCAACCAGAAGATCGCAAACAAAGGGGTGTTTGCCCAGCCTCGACCAGCCCCGACCAGCCCCGGCCGGAGCCCATCCCCTGGTGCCGCACAGCTGGGGGTGTTTTTGCGGCGACTGCGGAATGACTGCCGTGAATAAAGCGATTTGTCTTCTTTGTTGTTTACGTTTGGTGTTATAAATTATGCGCTGGCTTTTCGCCCAAAACGTACGTCGCCCGTCGTAGACATATCTGAAATTGTCCAAAAATTATTTGTGCATAACAGGGATAATCATAAATCTGGCTAATTGCACTTTATTGGGGTCTTTCGTCTACATCGCTCGTCATCTAGCACACTCTCTATCTCACTCCCTCGCTCTCCCTCTCTCTTTCTCTCTCTATGTCGCTCTCGGTGGTGGTCCATATCAATCGTTGGGATAAAATTGAATTTGACATGCTGCTCATAGGCATTAAATCTGAGCAGTTTTATGGTCTGACAAATGGCCCTCGTATAAATTTGCAGCTTTTGACGATGCTGTCATACGATAAGACTGCATGGGGCTTAGATACCCCAGTGAGGTACTTAGATAACCTTAGACTCAATTTTAATTACATTCTAAGTACTCGCCTAATGTACAACAAGGCATAAATTCATGTGGGCATAATTTGATTGGATTTAATAGAGATTACCAATAAGAGTTCATTTCTTATTACGAAAAATAAATAAATAATTTATGAATACTTTTGACATAGTTTACATACATTTTCTATATTAGGTAGAATTTGATAATCATTTAGATTTTTAAGTTTATCTTTAGACAATAGCATACTCTGTATAGGATTGCTGCTAACTATGTAAGTACCCAAATGATTTTATATTGATAATATATACTAAATCCAATCAAATATATATTTGTAAAATATGATTTAATTTAAAATATATTTAGAACAAATATATTAAAAAAATTAATTTTATCTTGTATATGTTACCAATATGAATTAACGCCTTACTATAGAAATAAATAAATAAATAAACACATAAATGCATATATAAATAAATGCATAATAAAAAAAATATACATAAATAAATTAATAAATAATTCTATATTTGATATTATTTTATAAAATAAATTTAAAATTGTTTGTCTTTTCAAAAAATTATTTACCCAATAATGAGTGTTGTCAAAAAATTACTAATTAATTCTCAGACAAGCGAGCTCATGAGTTCAATGATTTAATTTATATTTTTATTTAATTTTGAATTATTTTTCGACATTGTTTAGTTTACATAAACTATATCTGACAAGCTTATTGCATTAATAATCTTAATATCTTGTAATATGCCCATTGTCCCATAGACAAACAAGATAATATATAATTCGTTACAGGAATACCCATAACTAAATACATATGTATATGCTTAAGCATTCGTTGGAACTAATACATATACATATGTATACTGAATAAGTAATCTGTAATGAATACATTCATTATACCATTCGAATGGTATCTTTATTTTCATATCAATAATGATAGTTGTTATAATTTGTTATATTTCAATTTTGTATAGTGATTTCTATAGAAGACATTTTAATACTCATTCACTTATAATTGCCCAACTTTATTCGCACATCCTTCCAAATGTCTTACGCTCCTCTCAGTCCACACGAATACTTCTCAACTCTTAAGTACACATACATATACAAACTGCGCTTCCTTTTGGCACCCAGCCTTCTTAACTAAATCAACATCCACTTCACACACAAATAAGAGACATTTTGTGCGCACTCGACGTACGTAAGGGATTAAGACAATCCTCACAGAGGGGCACATGAAAAATGCATTACACTTGGGCCGCGGAGTCGCCGACACATAAGTAATTAGCCGAGCACGGGAGCGGAGTGGAATACGTATTAAGATTGAAGCTGAAGAGGCATTTCCATTTTCATTTTCATTCCCACTCCCATTTCCATTTGCATTGCCTGAGCGGAGAGTGTCTCTCCTACGGTAGCGGTGGCTGTTGAAAGGCAACTCTCAAATGGCGGGACCCGGTTCCAGATTTTATTTAAATGAATCTGAAATTCGAAATGAGCATTTAGTATGCATGCGTGTGAGTGCGAGTGTGAGTGTGTGAGTGTGTGTAGGTACATGGCTTTTGATCTTTGTTGCGTTTGTTTGTATACAATTTGATGGCTCGTGTTGATGGATCGTAAACGTGAAATGATGTTCACGATGCCGCCACCATCTCCGCCAGCGACCCCGAGCTCGACTCCTGCTGCGTCTGGCCCAGTGGCCTGCCTGCCCGTCTGATGGCGATGACGATGATCAACGCAACGATGACGGCACAGAAGTGTCTTTGATCATTTGCCGCGCCAGTTGGCAGTCAAAATGTTAATTTATGCGTTGCTCCCACCTACACATGGTGCAGCACAGGAGCATTAACAACTTTACAAACATGTTTGAGGTTTTTATTACGGTGTGAAAATGCTCGATTGTTCCGTAAAATAAAAAAGGATCAAACAAGTATACGGGTGGGCAGTCGTGGCATTCCGGCAATTGGCCGTAGCAGCAGAAGAACTCAACGATGCCGACATCAATTCCTCACCCCCCTTCCCACTCACCACTCCTTAGCCCCATCTCCGATCTCCGTAGAGATCGCTGCGCAGCTTTCGGGTGATTGATGCGCCGTGCGCACCAAAACAACAAGATCAACCACAGCCACATCGCCAATGAGGTGGTGGCAACAACAGATCTTCATTATGAACAAGTTGTCGGTGAATTTTTATTGTTGGAAATCGATCAAACCACTTGACGGCTGATCAAAGCCACAGGAACCGGGCAGTCAGCGTATTTTATACGATTTAATTAATGCCTGTGCAAGTTTTATAAAATATTTTCGCAACCTAAAAATAAATTCGCAGCGCTTCTTTCGAATGCTCTGCATTTGAATAGTTTAAAGATGTTCAGTTTACTACAGCATTTCTTTGAATTATGACTACAAAAGTTTATGTTTCATAAATTCAAATTTTAAAATCGGACAAGTTTTGTCAATGCGAATGCATAAATTTTGTGTATTTCTGTAAGATTTAATTTTTTAAGAATTTTTATGTAATGGGAATTTATTTGAATTATTTTTGTATGAATTTAAATTTAATATTTGAGTATATTTAATAAAATGAGAACCTTTTTTCTGTAAGATGTAGGATAATAAAAATATATTTTCCTTGTATGTAATTTATATTTGAGTTTATTTAATAAAATAATAATTTATTATATGTATTTAATTAAGACTTAATATTCAATTAATTTTTTATTTTAAATATTTAATAAATTGGAAATGTGCTTTCTGTATTTAAATATTTTATATTAATATGTAATATATATATAATGTATATATTTAAGATGAGATAAATTTATATAATGGAAACTTGTTTTCTTTAAACTGTAGAAGTTAGTATTTAAAATTTCAATTTATTAATATAGTAACTTATTTAATATTTATTTTTTTTTAAATATTTAGTATATTGATAATTTGTGATAATATTTTATATAATGGGAATTTCGCTTCTTTATATATTTAGAACTAATTATTTAATACTTGAGGTTATTTATTAAAATTATAATTTGTTTTCTGTACTTTTGTAAGATTTCTTTACATTGCTTAGAATAACTATTATTATCAAAAGGGTAGCCTATTTTCCGATATTTATTTAAATTAGAACGCGTTATATAAATATATACGAGATTAAACGATATGGTGATCAAACGATCTTTTGGAATGCAATCTTATATTGCATTCATATGACAAATTGTGTTTATATAAATTAAATTATCAAATTATACTATATTAAATCATATTATTATTCATATAAATACCAAAGCTGATTTTAAGCTGATAAAAATTCAATAAAAAGAATTTTTGTTGACCCACTAATTGATTATCGAAATACTGAATCTTATTTTTCAAGTAATAGTCCATGCCTCATTATAATAAATATGTTCTATGTTTTATGAGCAAGTTTGCCTAACCACAAATTTGATTCATTTTGATCATATAAAGCCTCAATTTCAATTATTTGCATTCATAAATTTCCCCCCACTTTTTAGATATCTAAAATTCGATTCACTATTAAATAATACCCATTCACCTGCAAACATCTCCCCCAAAAAAAGCAAAGACCATTGCGCTTTCCTAAGATATTAAATTGAGTGCTGAAATACTTTGGCAAGAGTTTCACATCAAAACAAAACTGCGAAAAATTTTCTCGAATTTAGTACGAGATGAAAATGTCAGGCCGGCATCAAATACTCAAGATAAATACTATGACACATGTGGACACGGCTGTTGAGGCGCAGAGGACGGCAAAAAGCTGCTCGTCTGATGGTCTGATTGGACTGCCAGCAGAGTGCATGGGCAAAAGAAACATTTGTCTCGCTTAATTTAAACAGATTTGCGAGATTATTGTCATGCCAACGTTAAGGCAACAATTTCAATTTCGCCGCGCGCAGCGATGGGAGACGCAGCTGACACACTGAGCGGGACAGAGGCGAATTAACAACCTCAATCTCAGCCAGCAGCTCCAACTTTAACTCCAACTCCAGGTCCAACTCCAACTCCAACTGCAGCTCGCATGCTGTGGCGGGGGCTTGAAAAGAAAGAAAGTTTGCAGTCAACAAGGAGAACGATGCAAACGCATGCGAATCTTGACAGCCGGCAACTTTTAATGTTGCCCCAAGAAAGCACTGCGAAACGGGGCAAGCCAAACCAAACCAAACGACAAAAAAAATGCAGAAAAAAATAAAAAACAGAGGCCAAGCCCAGAGCACATAATAAAAGATGCCAGCAGAGGCAGCTCCTCCGATTCCGAGTGGGCTGTTGGATGGCAGAACAAATTTGCAATGTCGCTGTGATTTTGCGCCAGCGTGACAGACACTTGCACTCCAGCTCCCACTCTCTGCTCCACTCTCTGCCTGCCCTCCCTCTTTCTCCCAGTTTGGAATGTGCACAAGCCATATTTAAAATGCTTTGAAGTTCCACCGCCTGCAGCACCAACTCCGACTCTGTGAGGCGTTGCCTCAGAGACGGGCGCGAAGCTGTCCGCTGTCCGCTTGACACGATCAGAGCAGGCTTCGCTATCTCAAGGCCCGGTTGCAGCAACACATGTCCAGTTTTAATTGCTGCCATCAATGAATGAATCAGCTAACGGCCCCAGCTGACAGCTGACAGCTGGGCATACAGACAGCCAGACAGACAGACAGATAGTCGGGCCGACTCTCCATCTAGCTGTTTAGCTAACTGCCAACTAGCTACTCATTTCCGGAAGTTGAAATAACTACTCGTAGCTTATCTTTATCGCAAGCGTTGCTCTTACTGTTCGTTGCAAAGTCATTAGACTCTGTCACTCCGTCAGTCTGTCAGTTTGTCACTCTGTCAGTTTGTCTGCCAGTGAGCTCTGCAGCAGCAGTTAGTCGAGCTTTGAGCTCAGACACTTGATCTCTCCTGTCTACTGGGCTCACGTCAAACTGTTTGGACAAGCTGTTCGAGTACATCATGTCAAACAGATGCAACACAATGGCGCAGCCATGACGCGTTCAGCTAATTTTGTTAGCGATACGCCATGCATGGCGAGTGCTCAATTACCGAATGATAATCGTGTGGCAAGAGAGATGAATTTTAGTCAGTTAGACTGCGACCCAGAGAGGGAGGATCTATCAAACCAGTTTTTCGATGGATAGTAGAAAACTTTCTCCCCTTTTGTGCTTGGCCAATGCATTTAGATGATTGCACTTTGCAGAGAGCTACAATATATATATGAGTAGAGCTTAGGTCTTTAGAGTACTTAATCTTTATTGAAGTCTAGTTCAAATTTGTGTTTGAATATCTATCTAAATATCTAAATATAAAAAAGTATATATAAGTTAAGTTAATTATTAAACTTTATATTGAATTATATGTAATACAATAAATGGGTATTGTTGTGATTAGGTATTAAATCAAATGTCGTATTTTAAATGATTAAATGATATTCTATTGACATACGTCAAAAAATAAATTAAATTAAATAAATAAAATAAAATAAAAAGAATAATTGATTATGGTTTCAACTAAATATTAAACAAAACGTCCACTAAAAATTAAAAACCCTTTTATTGATATATAGGTAATACAAAAATGATTATTGTTTATATTACATCTCATTGTAAATAACATAAATTAAATTAAATTAAAAATAAATTAAAAAAAGAAAAATTTTTTTTTAATATAAATTAAATTACTAAATTAAATTACACTAAAAAGCTGGTTGACTCAATGCCTCGCCGTTTGGCTGAGGTGTTAAAACAAAAAGGGTATCCCACAAGATACTAACAACTAACAAATTCCTGCGTTGTACGTAGAAAACTTAAGGTGTACGCAGACTTTTGAGGTGTCATCTTTTTGGGTATGATTTTTGTTTATAGTTTTTCTTTAATTTTAGGCATAGTTTTAAAAATAAAATAAAAACATAATTATGTTAATAAAAAAATGAAAATTGTTATAAAAAAGAATTATTGCCTTAAGTCTTCTATATAATTTTCAATATTCAATACAATATACAGAGTTCTGCGAGCAAGTGTTTATCTCATGATGAATCGAGTTGGCCATGCCTCTCACTAATTGCTATTCAGTTTCAGGAATCATATAATAAAGCAAACACAGGAATATAAATATACACAAATATATTCATACACTGTTTTGCTTCTCAGCAGAAAAGTTATCAAAATTTGAGATTTCTATCGATACTTCGTCACGATTTGAAATGTTTCGCTTTATTGTTGGTCCAAGCTGTCTTCTGAGAGCATCAGTTCGATTCTTCAGCGCCAGCTCCGTAGTAGCAAAACCTCTTCCTGAAGAAAAAGAGGTTGATGGGGAGGAGAAAAAACGAGCAAAAGCCGAGCCGAGCGAGCGATACTTGAAATTCAAGGAGAAGCTCCTATCGGAAGTCCCGCTGACTAGCCTACCGAAGACTATGCCGCATCCGGCACACGAGAAGGAGCCACTGAAGCGCTGGCCCAACAACACCAATCCGCATACAGGTGAGATTGGGGGACCGCCCGGGCCGGAGCCCACGCGCTACGGGGACTGGGAGAGCAAGGGCAGGGTAACGGATTTCTGAAAATCGGATGGAGCAGCTGCTGGGACGAGGGAACCAGACTTGGCTCACGATCTCTGATTTATTGGCCATGTTAACAACAGAAGCACCTACTATTTGCTCAAATCTAGTCGGCCTCATCCCGCGCAACGGTAGCTTCATCATCATCATCATCATCATCATCATTGTCTTCTGTGCTCTTCTGCGAAGGCGTTACATAAATTTTGATTGTGTGGTTTCCAGAATTTATGTTGCGCCAGCAAGAAAATTTAAATTGATGCTCGTCCGTCCAGCGAAAGGGTTCCCGGAATAGAGTGCAGCTACCATTATTTATGATGGTGTTGCGGGGCCAGAGAATCGTGCCTAAGTCCAAATTCCAAATATTCCGAATGCGCTCGAGTCGATTCATTTGAAATCGAGGCGACAGTTTACGTGATTTTTATTTGAAAAGTGTTTGTCTTTTCTAATTTGGTAGCCGTCGCGCGTAGCTCGCCGCTGTAGAACTCGAAAGGGGTTTTAAAATGTCATAAATTGTTCGAGGCGGCGTGGACAAATTTTGTGGTGGGCCCCGAAAAGAAATTCGGAAAATTTGCAGCTGTTTTCTCTGCTCAATCCCTCTTGACATTTTTGTGGTGTTTGCACTGATTAGCTGGCTACACAAATAGAAAATTTCCCACAAATACCATCATCATAAAATAAATAAGATTGGAAAGTCGAAAAGTCTTGATAATTGGACAGATTTACCGAAACAGAGGCAATCCCATCATGATGTATTTATGGATCTCTGAAAGTGCCGTTAGCCAAATCGAAATCAATGGGAGCTTAGTGAAGGATTCAAAGAACTATTTTTCGATCGACTGATACAATCGGCCATTCTTGAGTGCATATTGACGGATGAATTCAATTTGCATATCAAGATTTAGCCAGACGCACGACACTTGATTGGCTCCACCATTGGCAAGATCCAGAGTATTTAGTTAGTCGATTTCTTATATCTTCATTGTATCGAATTTGTCACACTTTGAAGACAGAAACTGAATCTTGGTTGAGAGCTAACACAAAATAAATGACGGTTGTCTAGATTCATTATGGGTTGAATAGAAGATAACTAAATCCATTAATCCAGGTAAGTTCATGTATAAATATATAGACATGGAATTTAATTAACAGAAAGATAGATCGACAGATTATATAGGAAGATGGATGGATATAAATATGATCAATTTAAGGATAGACTGATAGGTTTTCAGAATATAAATATATACATAGATTTTTTAAAAACTCTTATGATATTTCGCCTGGAACAGCTTCAAAAGCAAAGATTCAAGAATAAGATTTTGGCTGTAAATTAGGACTAGGGCTAGAATGTTCTAGGAGAGGGGTGTCAAGTCGATTCTTTTTGACAGCCAATGGATAAGAATTGGCTTTTAGATTATATTACTTTATATGCGTCGTCTGTTTGGTCTAGTAACACATAGTAGTATTATAAATTAATATAATATAAAATAAATATTATATAAATAAATTACTGTATATTAAGAGATGAAGCAGAATTTCAGTAACATTTCATATGGGACATCGAATGCAAAGCATATAGAGTACCGCAACAATTAAATTAAGCAATTGCTGATACTTTCCATTCATTTTTTCATCTCTTTTGAATTGAAGAATAAGTATGGGACTCTATTATATTTTAATTTATTTATTATTATCATATAATATTTGATGAATAACTGTACTTCTTAATTTGTAAATTAATTGTAACAGCCATCGCTGGTCTGTTCTTCTTGTCCGTTCGTTTGCTACTCAATAGGAGTTTTTTTTATCGACTTATCCGATAATTGATCTCGATACCATTCTTCGTTCGCCGATAATAATTAAAGCTACAAATTAAGCTGGAAAATTACAAATGTGCTAAAAAATGACAAATATGCAGAAAAATGACAAATGGTTCTTCAACAATATTTTATTTTATTCATTATGATGAATAAAGCATTTGTTTTTCTTATATTTCATTTATTTTCATTTATGTATATTTTTCTGATATTGCTAGAGCGATCTAAGAGAGAGTAGAGAAACACGTGTAAGCAATATAACTCACAAAGATCTATTCTGTTATATGACAATGTTCGCATGTGAGATTCGACCTTCTAGCAAAATGACACAGTCATAAAACAAGGTGTTATAATGCCCACTCGCAAGAGCACCGTAATGAGCCGAGCAGAAAGATCTCTTAAGTAGGCGCGAAATAGCTCGTAAAATGCTACCAATGCGAGTACTAAATGGGAAGACGGGCCTCGGCCTCGACATCGGCATCAACATCGGCTATCGGCCCGGGGCGCTCTACATACATCGGCATCGGGCAGCAAACCGGAAAAAATCAAAGGCAAAACAATGATCAAAGCTGTCATTACAGATCTCGGGGCGGTCTTTGATCTGGCACCGCAATATGGCAGAGGCCGTGCATAGTTGAATGTTTTGTTTTTTATTTGATTTTTACTTTGTTCTATCAATCAGCGCCTACTACTTTGCGACGCGGCGCAGCGGGAGCCTGTCAGAGATAGGGTTTGGGTTTAGTTCTGGGCCCGGCCCGGGCTCGGCCATAAAAATGATCTTGAGAACTGGCATGCGTGTTCTTTTCATTTAATTTTCACGTAATAAAAACACATTAGCATCAACAACAATAACAAGCCCCCGGGCACATTCAGGAACAGCCACGTTAATTCGGTTTAAAAATAAAATAGACGAAATAATTGTTGCCAGCATCTGAAATCGCATTTGATGGATGACTCGCTGGGCCAGGCGAGCCCCAGCACACACAAATCTATCGAGAGCAGCTCGCCCAAATATTCATCGTTGAGTAAGCGCTCGAGCACTGTGCATTGTCTCAGCTAACATTTATATTCGACGCTTTGTGGATTTCCTGGAAGTAATGCGGAATTTACTCATCGATTTAGGTAAATTTTGTTTGATTGTGATTGATCTTTGATTGGTTTGATAGAGCTGTAAATAGATTCAACTGAATGTTTGCCATGCCTTGCCCCAGCCCAGCTGCGCCTGAGCTAAAACAATTCACACGTTTGCCAGAGACCGAGTAAAGAGGCGACTATTGTAGTGCCTTTGATAAATGAAGTTTATTTCCGTTCCTTTGAGTTGTTTTTAATGCCGCGTTTCATATTATTCCCATACCCTAATAGGCTTGCCAAACACCAGTCTATGGCTCTACTCCAAGTCACGGGAACTTGCCAAGTCACGTTGCTACCATTAGATGCATAAATAAAGGACACGAAACGTATGCAGTATCAGCCTCTACCACAGCCTCTACCACAGTCTCTATCTCAGTTTCTACCTTAGCCTCTCACTTAGTCTCTACCCCTGTCACTAGATCAGCCCCTACCTCCTCCAGCCGGCCCTATCCGTTAGTCCGTTCCGGTCTTTGTCTGTTAATTTCACAAATTTTGTGGTCATTGGCAATTTTTTGTTTGGCTTGCGCTAGATTCAGGCGTCATCATAGACGCCAAACATGACATGCGAATTTCTGGGCTGTGTCCAAAACGAAAGTGATAAACGATATACAGAGTAGCTAAAGCACAGAGCGAGCGAGGGAGAGGGGCCTGACAGCTTGGCAGCCTGACACTTGGATATGCGCACAAATAACACTTAACACAATAACAAACAAACTTTTCGACTAATGACAGTCCAAGTAGCAAACAATTTATCCAATGCCAGGCAGCATGTCCTTTTTGCGCCGTCTTCATGCAGCGTACAGCTCCGTTTGTTCGCTGCCAAGTCATTAATCTTATTTCGTTTTGGTCGTCCGACGGCAGGAGGCCAGTCCACACACACACACACACACACATAGTCCTCGCAGCTCGGCAGCAAGCCTCCGTCGTCCTCGCCCTCGTCCTCGTCGTCGTCGTTATCCTTTCAAGCGTGAACACATGCGATTACGCGTGGTGTGTGTGCCAGTTTCCGCATTTTCCTGTGCCAGGCGGCTGCCATGATTAAGTGCCATTTTGAAAAGTACTAAAATCCGGTCGGTCATGGCCCACACTTGGACTCCCCAGTCGCTCGCCAATGTCAAAGTGTCAATGATATATGTTATACGCCTCGATAAGACGCTGAGCAGCTCAGCAGCACCGTCCACATCGTTCGGCATTAGCGCCCGGCAGCAGCAACCGGACTCCGGCCAAATCCTTGCCCGGAACCGAAAAATATTGCACGTGGACAAAGCCTGGCTGGCGAAATCAGTGCACGTTCACACAATAACATAATAGTTGGCAATATATTGTAGATTTTCCGTCCGTCTCTGCCCATTGCTACATACGGAGAGCATTTGTTCCGCTCCCTCCCTCCGTCAATCCCTTCGCCTCCTCAGCGTCCGTTGTGCGCGTAATATTTCTTATTTTTCCGCATTTCTGTGGGTTTTCGCTTCGCCCTCGTCATCCCAACTGTTTGGCTAGCTTTACGTGTGAAATATTATTTGGCAATGACATGACAGAATGTGCATTCGATTGTTTCTTTATTTCCTCTCTCTTTTCTTGCTGCTGCTTCCTTCTCCACAGATTCCTTCCCTCTGGCACTTTGCTCGCATGGTTTATGAGTTCGGCACGCCATGCGAGTTATGACTCGCCTGCATCGGGCTTATGGCCCAAGCTCTGCTTTGCCAATGAATTATGACACAAGACAAACTGTGTTTCTGTCCCCCAATGTATATCATCTTGATCAGTATCAATGGTCGAGGAGTTAATGTGCAGGCATCCGTTCGTCTAGCTGTCCGTCCCAATGTGAGCCCTTTTATCAGACAGTATTCATGTTGTGTCGGAACAGTTCTATATATCTTGTATAACAAATCTATTTGTATTTCATCTCACCTGTTTTTCTTTTCTCTCAAATTGCTAGATGATACTATACTAACATTACTTTCTATTCTTTCCGTTGGTCTATTACATGGTACATGATTTCATGGTAAAGAAATTCCAATTTGTATTTCCTATATGCATAATCTTCCATTATAAACAGACATGTATCAAGCACATTATCGCGTCCATTAGAAGCACAAACATATGTGGCGTTGTAATTGATATTGATACCACTGTAAATCAATCCACTCTGGACTATTTGCAACTTTGCCAAGAACAGCTGAAATACGATAAATTCATTAGCGAAAAATTTCAAAGTGATAAAGAAAAACAACAACAGCAGCAGCAGCAGCAGCAGCAATCGCAGAGAAAAGAAAACAAGTCGAGGCGAACAGGAAACGCAGACATGGCCACAATATACAACAATTTACAACCTAAATCAAATGCA